ATGAAGGTGGCGGCCATTGTGATACAGATGCTGATTGTAAGAACAGCGAACGTGGCTTTTTAAAGTGCGGAAATGACTTGTGCCTAAATACCATTTATTTTCCGAGAAATATATTTGTTAGAAATTCAGAAACATTTGGATTCACAGGCACTGACAATTGTTGTTACAAACCATGTAACAAACGCTATCATCTATGCGGGCAAAATAAAGTTGGATGTCAGGGTAATGAGGATTGCCTACCTGGATACTATTGTGTTACAACAGCTGCACAGCCATATTGTACTGAGTTAAATGAATGCTCTCCTAAAAATGGTCATTTTGAAGGACTTGCATATTGTGGGAGGAACACAGTTTGCACAAATACAGTTGGAAGTTTTACATGTACTTGTAATACTGGCTATGAAGATTTTGCTGAACACAGTGGTTGTATCGACACCAATGAATGCTCAGCCGGAACTGCAAACTGTGGTGCAAATTCAAATTGTTGGAACTTCCCAGGAACATTTGTTTGTACTTGTAAGGTTGGGTTTACTCGAGACCCTGTGGCTGGATGTACAGATATTGATGAATGTATTAACTCTGATTGGCACAATTGCCAAAATTCTCCAGGATACAACTCAGAAACCTTTGGATTAAATGGAATTAAATACTTTAATGTCAGTTCATCGAACATTGGAGACCAACAGCATCACACATTTAGATTTGAGTTAGCTACTGAGAAGGAAGCTAGTTTCTATTTGACAAATGATGATTTATCAATTTCCTACAAAGCAGTTCTCAAGGATTCTGGAACAGAAATAGAGAGATGTGAGAATTTGAACTGTGTTCTTCTGATCATTTCAAATAAAAAACCAATTCTTTCATCAAGCTCATTTAACCTTTTCTTCTTTGATATATTTTATGAAGAAGCATCAGAGGATACTACTCTTACAGTTTCAGACAGTAGTAATAACATTTTGTGTGAAGCTAAATATAAAGAAATGGTACCTTTGACTATCAATAAAATAGGAGTTGACAACAATTTAGGGGGTCAAGTGGCTTACTGGAGAAATATGAAGAAAAATGTTGTAGAGCAAATATGTGTTAACACTGTAGGCAGCTTCCTTTGCAAGGATAACCCAGAAGAGATGATAGGGATTGGGTTTGGAGGTCACACTACAAGTGGTTCAGATTATCCAGATAAAGTAGTTGTCTTCACAAATCAGAAATATACTTGTGCAAATCATAAAATTGATAATATTAGAGGAAGGTACAGCCCAGGAATGACTGAATTGGATGGTTGGCTGTACATATGTGGTGGGCATTATAATGGAGCAACAGATCCATTGATTGACTGTAAAAAATTTGATCTTAATTCTAATAATGGAGCATGGACAGCTGCACCAGACCTACCTAAAAAGCGTAGACATTTTGAGATGCTAAGCTTTGAGAGCTCAATATTTGTTTTAGGGGGACAAAACTACTGGAAAGGAGGATCTGAATGTCTTAACACTCTACATGAATTCAATCATCAATCAAATATTTGGACATCTAAAGCAAATTTGCCATTTCCCAATCATAGACATTGTGCTGTTGCAGATGATGAAGATGGAAAAATATGGATGATTGGAGGTCATGAATGTGGTGTTGGAGATAAAATGCAAGTTTATTATTACACAGTCTCAAGTAATATCTGGACACATCACAGCAATCTTATCAGCAATCAGGCAGTAATTGATCCATCTTGTGGAATTATCACCAAAACCACAGGAGAGAAATGGTTGCTTGTAGTTAAAGGACAAAGAACAGAAGCAGTTATCTATTATGATCTTACAAACCAAAACAGTTGGAATCATGCAAGTAATTTGTTTGGTAATGGAAAACAATATCACATGCGCATGATAACTTTAAACCCATATTCAGCCTTTATAGTAGGCTCTTATTCTACAAGACATGGCACAAGTTTAAAAAACATTTTAGAGTTTAACCAAGAAACAAACAATTTTGAGGACAAATATTATTACCTCCTAAATGAGATGTACTTAGGGTATTGGACAACTGTGAAAAAATCCAAAAACTATAAAGCTTTACAAGACTGTGTATCAATAAGAGAATATGCTGCTGTTTGCTGGGGTGGTCACACTACATCTAGTTCAACATATCCAGCAACATGGAGCATTCTACTGAGGGATAGGTTAAGAGAAGGAGATCCTCATCTTCCAGCTACCTGTCATGAGAAGATTCCAGACCTTTCTCCTGGAAGATTTCGGCCTGGGGTAACAGCAGTAGATTACAAACTAATAGTCTGTGGTGGACAGTTTTATGGAGGTGGTTATGAAAGTAGCTGCTTTTATCTGGACACAAACAAATATTCCCCTGTTTGGAATACAATGGAAAATATGCTAACTCCTAGGGGATTATTTGAGTTAACTACATATGGAGATGCAGCATTCGCAATAGCAGGTTGGAATCGTGTTAACCTTAGACAAGTAGACAGATGGACTGAAAAAGAGGGATGGGTGAAAATGAGTGATTACCCAATAGCTACGCATCGTCACTGTGCCGTCCCTGACCCAGGATATGACAAAATATATAGCTTTGGAGGAAGTGATAGGGACAATAGAAGCTATGCGTACATTGTGTCTGCTGACACCTGGACTGCTATGCCAAGCCTTTACTGGGGAGCTAATAATATTGCATGTGGCATAATCAGACGAAGATCAACTGGAAACAAGATTATTGTTCTAGTTGGAGATGGTTACTCACGAACACAATATTTTGATCTCACTGTTTATGAAGCAAATGGAAGTGGTGAATGGAATAGCTATGCAAATCCTCAATACTACTCATATTACTCTACAATTGTTACACTAACTCCATATGAAAGCTATGAGGTAAAAGTCATTTATTTACGTGCAAGTTAAAGACTTAATTAATCTTAATCAATATGTATATTTATGAAAGCTTTTATCACACATGCTGAAAAGATTCAATTGAAAAGGGTTACAATTGCTACCTATAAGCAAAGATCCATCCATGATAATTAATCTAATAAGAGTGTTAATCTAAAGTATCCATGTTTTCATGAGGATCAATACGAATTCAGTTTTCTTAGCCAATCTCTTAGTGTGAGTTACATAATTATATTGTTTCTATTAAGATGGGAGGATATAGTAATTTAACCGGAGGAATATCTACAAGAAACTTGTTTATGTGGAATCCTATCTCTGAACGTCATGAAGATGTTGGTCTGAACCTTGTCCATCCTCACTACTATGGAGATTGTACCATTATGCCAGCTGATGCTAAGGTTCTCAAGGGATGCACTCTGGGCTAGAAATATTGAAGACAAAAGAATAAAAATTCGTGTTGATGATCTCCACAAAAACCTGTCCAAAAAAACAAATAATGTACCCTTTGCTTCACTTTCAATGTTGCATTTTTTTCTAAATTACTTAATCAAATTAATCTTATATCAGGTTTGAGTATACTAGTTTGCATTGCTACTAATTTTATTTTATTATTAACATTTGCAAATTATAGTAAAGCAATACCAAGTTAATTTAAATTACAGAATAGAAAAATGTCTAAAACTAAATAGTATACTTCATAATCCTAATAATTTTGAAACCAATAAAAGGGAGACCAGGTTTTAGAAATTCCAGGAATATTTTGTGACAATTACTTTTAAATAATTACAATTCTCATTTGAAACAAACATCCTTTATTGCAGCATTTACATTAAATACTTAAATAATAATTTTAATGCATATTGTACTTAATCATAAAACAAAGGTCTTGGAAAATGTTTACTAAATTTTTCCAAAGCCTGTTACTACTTCAAGACATTCTGTGATTTTGATAAATAGTGTAATTTATCCTACTTGCACTTATAGATTTTGGATAATTAATAATTATTTAAGCCTAGGAGTTAAGCATATCTAAAAATGTGACACAGAATTTAATTTGTTAGAATTTAAGCCACATATTTAACCAGTTTTATTTTCTCTGACGAGTTTACCACAATGATAAACATGATTGAACTGGAATTAAATATATACTAAAAATTGAAAGTACGTTTCATTAAAATAAAAGAGAGTAAAAACTTTATTTATAATTGGTAATATTGAATACTTAACTAAAAAAAACATATAAAATTTTATTAAATAACAGTGTATAATATTAAAATATCATAAACTGTTATTTTTATGAAAAGAAGAAAACTAATTCTTTAATTGTCTACGATCTTTTCATTATTCTATCTATGAATAGTCTGATCTGTTAATTATCCTATCTACGAATTGTCTGATCTGTTAATTATCCTATCTNTGTTTGCATAAACATTTGCCATGTATTTCAGGTCTAATTTATTGTAATTTATACCAAAGCGTTATTTCATATTTTATGACTACCCGCCATGTTTCTTTCTAAAAAATCCATTTTGAATTATCTGTATGAATTGTCTGATCTGTTAATCGTCCAAACTATTTTTAAAAAGTATTTCAGAACAAAACTATCTATAAATTGTCTGATCTATTAATTATCCTATCTATGAATTGTCTGATCTGTTAATCGTCCAAACTATTTTTAAAAAGTATTTCAGAACAAAAAGTATTTTGTGAGAAAGCATAAATTGTTTTAATCTTTCCCCTAAAATAGACTATTCAAGACATATATAGTTGTCTGCTGTTTGCATGTCTGTTCTTTTAACATGATTTACCTAACCTATGAAATGCCCTGATGTAAAAATCTAAGAAATTTCTAATCTATCCATGTCATGCATCAATTAAATGTCTTATCATTCCAAAGTCCTGTTTATCACTGTAAAGTCTATATTTACGTCTTGCAAAATTGCCGCGTAAGTGATTGTAACTTATAGCAGCCTAAAGTCAGAACGCGTCAACCTAGTTTCACCAGGTAGCCCTGCATACAGAGCTAGGCCAGCTTTATTGATCCCTGCTTGCCGGTTGTCTGCCAGTATATAGTTGGTGTACCGGGCGGGGCAGTACAAACTAGGACCGTAAAGGTCGGTTAAGTTAATTAAGCTCAGATTCAGATGTACATGAGTTGAGTGTTACGTCTGAAATTCTTATCTCACCTATTGCTACAAAAGCTATTTGTTGTAGAATAATCCTATTCCCATTTACTTTTATTCTGCTGTGATCTGACAGCTTTCCAAAAATAAGGCGGCCAAGTCCTAAACATTTTACATTTAAAAAGGGATGTTGGGTTCAACATGTTTTTTTAGTTTTTTTTTTAAGATACCAGAGCTGAAACCTTTAGAATGATCGATATCAAGATCAATTCTTGATCCTCTTTTTTTACTAATCTCAAGACTGATTTAGTCTTCAGATTAATTCCTGGACATTAGAGATGCGCTTTTTAACTTTTGAAAATCCGCTTTTTAATTTTTCCGCATTTGTGGTGTCATATCAATTGAACTAATGATCGATTGAACGAACGTAAGTTTTCAAAATGTTCAAAATGACTATAGTCCTCAAATGTGATAAAATATGTTTTTCATAAGTTCGTATTACCATGATTAAATTTATATTTGATTAAACGCTCTAAAATCCGGCTTGTGAACAGCTGACTTTTGTTAAATCGGAAATATTAGTCCAATCAATGTAGCATCATATCTGTAATTGTTATCAAACGTAACTTTTATACTGTAGGGGTATTCAAAAAGAGAGGATTAAGAAGAAAATAAAAAGTTTGTACATTAGATACTCAGATTAATTAAGTGATTGGGATTAAGGATATCCCATTCTATAGTTTTGAGCTCTGAATCTTTATCAAGCTAAAGGTACAATTCTTAATACAGGAATTGGAAAGTGCATTAACCGATTTGCAAATGAAAATATAAACATGTTATAACTATTTTGGATCTGTATCTGATGTAATTCCAATATACGCCACCAGGGCGGAATTGTACCAATAGGGTGGAATTTTACCTGTTGTAATTCCAATACCGGCCACGAGGAATTTCACTTGATGTAATTCCAGTACATGCCACCAGGTTGGAATTGTACCAGATATAATTCCAAAACATGCCACCAGGGTGGAATTGCACCTGATTTAATTCCAAAACATGCCACCAGGGTGGAATTGTAACTGATATAATTCCAAAACATGCCAACAGGGTGGAATTGTACCTGATATAATTCCAAAACACGCCACCAGGGTGGAATTGTACCTGATGTAATTCCAATACACGCAACCAGGGTGGAAGCTTTCTCTCCGTTCATATGCTCATTCTCATCCAGTGGAATATTCTTTGCAAATTCAACCTGTAAAAATAAGTAAGGTATCAATTCTGATTATAAACATGGTTCATTATTCTCTCTGGAAGGGGATAATTTATTTTGTTTACTATCCCGTTTAACAACATATGTACGTAAAACTTTCTCTAGTTGCATAAAAGTCAGCAAGGTATTTTAAATAAACTGGAGCTTTCCGATAAATACTATCTAATTTATGAAAAAAAATAATTATTTTTGAATGCATACTTTCTTTAGCTTGTCATTGTTAGGTGCGTGTTGATAACATAATTTTAAAAAAGCGTAAAAAAATGTAAAAAAGGGATGATTAAATTTGATGAAATTTTATCAGAATAATCAATAACTCAGCAGCAGGCCCTCAGCTGTACTGTTAAAGGGATTGTGATCGTAATTTTAAATGACCCACAATGCAAATATGGCAATGTCTGTTTCACAATGGACAATGGTACCCTTAATATAGCTCTGGTCTGATCAAGTATGAATTAGATATATAAATGAATATAAGTCTGAAAACTGATTATTTTCAATGGTGGTTTCTCTACCAACGCGACTAGCGCATTTCTACTGCAGGAAAATATATATGAATGATCGTAAGTAAATTCTTTCAAATGTCAAGTGACGAAAACATCTTCCATATTATTGATCAGATAAAAGTATCAAGGGTATTGTAAATCGGGCATTGCCATCTTTACATGGACGGTCAATTACTTCCTTTAGAAGTGAAAAATTCTACCAAAAAACTTGAAATCTTAAAAATTATTAAATAATTATTTTAGAATTTTATCCTAATATTTATTCTAAATCTGTTATTAACAGGAATATAATTAATATAGCTTGTCAATTATATTTATGAAAAATCTTATTAGTTTTTTATTTTCAATACATTTTAGTAATGCATCACTGCATCACTAAATACATTTTAGTAATGCATCACTGCATCACTAAATAAAGATAAATATCATAAAAGTAAAGTTTAATTATTGATTTTTTTCGCCATTAAATTTGTCGAACCTTTAAAATGAAAAGACTTGAAAAGTACTTCAAAGTACTTATGGAGAATTGTGAATTTGAAATATAAAAACATGGGCAAAATATGACTAAACTATAAATTTTTAATCTCATTAAATCTTTTCATTCTGCAATATACTGACCTTTGATATTTTAAAACATCGAAGTCGACTATAAAATGCAAATTACAAATATAATTGAAAAAACATTCAAGTTTGTGACAAGCAATCACTAAACTAAATTTTGATTCAAAAACGTACCAAAAATAATTTTCGCTTTTTCAGTTATTTGCGTAATTTTTACGTAATTTACGTAAATTATGTAACTTACGTACCAGGTGTACATAGGGTACAAAGTATCCGAAGAGTGCTGTAGGTATAGCTAGAGCCCAGATAACATATCTTTTATTCTTCCAGTTCGGTAGATAAATTACTTTCTGAACCAGCTCACGAAACTAAAAATAATTTTTTAATACAGGGTTACCAACAATGGGTGAGACGTTGATGGCAACCTTAAACCTTAGTTTGTGTATAAATATAAAATCTAATAATAAAACAAGACATTCGTATATATATACGTTGCCTATAGCCGGCCAAACGGCAGGACCGATTGGGCTGAATTTTTTGTGGACACTCATGGGTGCCCGGGAGTGGTATAAAAAATTTGATTTAAAATTTTTTTACATTTTTTTTCACGGGCAACGCCGGGCTGTTCAGCTAGTCATAATTGTAATAAAAACAATTTTAATGATGAAAACTAGCTGGAGTACCAGGTTACCAGCTGTCTATATTATTATAATTTAAATTTTTTAACCTTTGTCATGGGTTTCCTAAACAAATTTCAGCAAATTTGGTCTAACCATTTGGCCAGCTATAGCGACAAATATAATTGAATAAGAATAATGATAATAATAATAATAATAATAATAATAATAATAATAATAATAATAATAATAATAATAATAATAATAATAAAAATAATAATAATAATTATGATAATAATGATATTAATAAAATAGCAGTAATGATAATAATACAAAGAAAGAATTTTTATTATTTTGATTTCTGGGCCGATTTACTAAAAATTTTTTATTATGTATGATTATATCTGGAGCTGTCTGCGTATGATAATGCATAAAAGGGTTAAAAATAAGAGACTTTATCATTAATTTTCAATAATTTGTTCCATGATACATAGAACAAATTTGAAATGAGAGACACACCAAACAGAGACTCCACTTGTGTCATCTGCAGTTTTTGCAGTTCACTAACCAACTGGGCGAAATCTGGTGGCAGAAACTCGAGTTAAACTCGACTTTTTAAATACATATTTGTAATTTGGTTCTAAAGTCGGCGTTAATGCCTAGTTAAAGCACGACTATTGCAGTTTATCTCCACTTGTCAATTAGTTGTTCCATCCAGTTCTGTTTAGTGTGTGGGGGTGGGGGGGTTGTCTGTGCTAACCTGAGTAGAATAAATACCTTGGACTGATGTTTGGTGTGAACTATTGCTGGAGGAGGAAGGACGGGAACAAATGTGAGGCTAGCGAGGATGGTTACAGCGGTTAACATGGTGAACATCTGTAAGCACGCCTGGACCTGCAAAAAAAAATTCAAGTTTTTCCCAACCAAAAGGAAAATCTTAATGAAAGTTACGAACTGGATTTATATTTATTTCATGAAAAATGCGAAAATGAAGCAAAATTTCGCGAAAAAAAAATTTTGCGAAAAAATATTTCGCGAAAAGCTTATATTCATAGTGTTTATGAATATATGTATCTGCGAAAGTAACTATGGTGTGAAGGGGGGGGGGAGTATTTGTGAAGGATACTATGGTATGAAGGGGGGGTCAACCTACCCCATAATGTTCAAGAATGTATGTATTTGTGAAGGATAGAACTATTGTAAAGACAGAACTACCAGCAGTTACAACTCCGTTAACAACTCCAAGATGTTTGCGGAAGTAGTGTCCGAGAATTGTCTGAAATAAAAAAACTTATGAAAAAATAAGTTCAGCGCCAAAAAAAATGATTTACTTTTTTATTGACCTTTTTCCAAAGTTTTAAATTCAAAAGGAGTAGCAATAAATAGCGCTATTTACAACACAAGATTCTGGTATATTAAAGTAATTTGGAGAATTTCCGAACAAAAGGACGAACAGACTTTTTCGAAAAGCGGGTCTATCTTTTGGTGTGAAAGGATAGGATTGTTGCAAATAAAAAAAGAAACAAAAATATTGGAAATTTATGAGGATATAAATTTAATACAGGCATAAAAAACTTTAAGATTTTGAAACAAACTAAGATTCTCTGATTAATGAAAATTCACAGATACATATATTCCTCAGAATTTGCATTTGATCTTTCAAAGCAATCAATTAAATTGAAAATAATTGTATTTCATGAAATTGTTTACGTATCATTAAAGGCCGCACTCAGATCTTTAGAACTTTTTATTACACTTTTTGTAAAATTTTAAATGCAATAAAAGAACCTTCAAAAGTGCACAACTGAGCAATTTTTTAATTAAAATACTGGCGGAGGACGACCTCTAATTGTTTTTAAATTAAATTACTGGAGGAAGACGACCTCTAATTGTTTTCATTTTTGTAAAATGCTTTCTTACCAAGGACGGAGTGTACACCATAGAAGATCCAGCACCGAAGAGAATACCATAGGAAACATATAATACCTTATTAATATAATAAGTTTTATTATAAAACAGCAGAATAAGATAAAAAAGTATGTTTTAAAGTTCTACCTCTAAGCTATGAAAATGCATTAATTATCTACCTGTACGCTATCAAAATGTATTGATTATCTACCTCTACACTATGAAAATGTATTAATTTTCTACCTGTACGCTGTAAAAATGTATTAATTATCTACCTCTACGCTGTGAAAATGGATTAATTATTTACCTCTACGCTATGAAAATGTATTAATTATCTACCTCTACGCTGTGAAAATGTATTAATTATCTACACCTCTACGCTATGAAAATGTATCAATTATCTACCTGTACGCTGTAAAATGTATTAATTATCTACCTCTACGCTATGAAAATGTATTAATTATCTACCTCTACGCTATGAAAATGTATTAATTATCTACCTCTACGCTATGAAAATGTATCAATTATCTACCTGTACGCTGTAAAATGTATTAATTATCTACCTCTACGCTATGAAAATGTATTAATTATCTACCTCTACGCTATGAAAATGTATTAATTATCTACCTCTACGCTATGAAAATGCAAGGAAGATAGTCCCATACCCAAGGTAGCAATTACACCACCAATAAGAGCAGTAAATCTTAAACCTAAATGAATAACATAAAAAAGATTGATTCTCACAAAACATGATAATTCAGTATTATGATTTATACAGACTAGGCTAGTCCTGGTATTTCTAAAATGTCATCTGCATACCATCAGTGCGTCTAATATTTATAAATTATTAAAAATTTTTAAGAATTTTGGTTTATAAATAAAACAAAAATATGTCAAAAGGTCTAATATTTTTTATCATTTATCAAGTATTTTTTAAGTTGTCATCAAATCCCTTTAACATTGTAATGTAATGTACAGCAGTTGTCTTTTTATAAAATATTCTAAACTGTTTTTCCATCTTGTTTTTTTTTAGAAAATTAGATTGATATAAAACCATATTTTACTAATTCATTTTAGAATTTGGAGAAAATGAGTGCGAAGCTAGAAAGAAAACTCCGTGATAAAATGAGTCCAAAGCTAGGAAGAAACCTCCGTGATAAAATGGGTCCGAAGCTAGAAAGAAACCTCCCTGATAAATGAGTCCGAAGCTAGGAAGAAACCTCCGTGATAAAATGAGTCCAAAGCTAGAAAGAAACCTCCGTGATAAAATGAGTCCGAAGCTAGAAAGCAACCTCCGTGATAAAAGACGACATGAAATACCTTGCGGTAATACATTAGAAAATCCACAAAAATTTTCTATTTTCAAAAATATTACGCAAAAATACATACAAATAATTCAATAACTGAATTAACTACTTAGTTTAAATTTCAAAATTGCGTATAAATTTTGCCTTTTTATTGTAGATTTAAGTACTATGTACGCATTGTATTAAGTACATTGTACTTGTAAAGTTATAATTCAGTACAAAAAATTTCCATAGAAACTAAAAAGAATCTATCTAAATTTGCGTTTTGTGACATGAATTTACCCCTATTTTCAGACTTATATTTTAAATAATGTTTTTATCAATATTTCTTATTATCTTTGATAAAAAATCATTTTTTTCCGAATAAATTTTTTTGAATTATTTTAATGCCGTTTTTTTATTAATACCATCTGTGTATGGTTTCTTCCTGAACCGGACTCATATTCTGAGCTGTGTGAACCCCATGGAACAATGTTTAAAAAGAATTAATAAATATTTTACCTATTTTATCTGATACTATTCCTACTAGGAAGGACAAGAGAATATTTTACCTATTTTATCTGATACTATTCCTACTAGGAAGGACAATATTTTACCTATTTTATCTGATACTATTCCTACTAGGAAGGACAAGAGAATATTTTACCTATTTTATCTGATACTATTCCTACTAGGAAGGACAAGAGAATATTTTACCTATTTTATCTGATACTATTCCTACTAGGAAGGACAAAAGAAAGGTAGATCCTATTGTGAGGGATCCAACAAGTGCTGAAAAAGGAAAAATTTTAACATTTTGTTTAAAATTAATAAAAATGAGCAAAAAATGTTGTTCCAATTTTTAAATTATATTAAAAACTTTTTTTGAAATGTTGGAAGTTGAGAATCTATTAATTTAACTAAATAACTAAAACGGTTCCATAAAAAATTTACGGATTAATTAAATTCATCTTCTATAACCCGTAGTTGTCATACCCTGCAGGGATACATTTCATTGAGGGATCAAGCATCTTCCACATTTAAAGTGCCCACAGTAAATATCGAGATTAAGCGTTCAAGATTAATTATACTTCACACTAAAGTTCAGACCACTGATTAAAATTGCCTGAATCTCTACTGTTCAAATCCCTAAATCTCTGAAACCTGATGGTGTTAACCCTTGATATTTCAAACATTGACTATTTGACCTGCCAAAAACCATAGTTTTAAATATCAAAGGTTTACAACATCAGGTTGTAAAGATATACAGCATAGAATAATAGAGTTCAAGGGGCCGGGTTGTAAGCGTACGTTTAAGTGACCCTTCATGCATAGATAGCAATGCCCAATTTACAACGATGCTCTTGATACCGTAATCTGTTTAAAAATGTGGAAGAGAACGCCGTGTTTATGACTCGAAAAGTGTTTATTTCTGTGAATTTCTCCATTTTTTCTTAAAAACTATAACAGTCACTTTTGAGTTTTGTAGAGAAGCCAGAAATGAGACTTAACAGTTTAAATACATAAAATCATTGATGTCTAATTCATGCTTGATCAGACGAAGCTGTTATGGGGACCGTTGTAAATCGGGCGTTGCCGTCTTGGCCTGCTTGAGGGTCACTTGAAATTACACTTACACTAGATGTACAGGTTTACTTACAGCATTTAAGAGCAGCGTCCTCTACCCCCGCCTTCTCAAGGTCAGACTTCAGCTTGACGAAGAGAATACCAAAAGTGTTTATAACTCCAAAAATAATTCCATTAACTAGAAAACAGGAAACCAGAACCATCCAGGCCTAAATATTAAAAAACTCCAATTTTTTAATCACTATATTTTTGCAACCTGATGGCGTGGACCTTTGAAATTTCAAACTTGGATTATCTCATCTCACAAAATTAATAGTTGAAATATCTCAGTTTGAAATATCAAAGGTTTACATCGTCAGGTTACAAAGTTATAAGGATTATATCATTTTAGTTTCTGGCGAAAACTCAGTTTCTTCAATTTATTTCGGAAAGACAATTCGCTTGAAATCCTCACACATGAAACCTAAAAATTTTGCTCTATTCCCCCCCCTTGCTCTTGTTGAAATAATTGTGCTTTTAAAGGGTATACCTTTGAGTGTGTAAATTATTTGAAGATTTCTTTAAAGAAAAGGAAGAAAACATTTTGGCATTTTTATTTTATGTTTTTTTGATATTTACCCATATTCCTCCGTCCGGGGGAACTATTTCTTCATTCTTAGCTTCATCTTCTTCTTCCTTCCTCTTATCATGTTCTCCTTCCGTTCTCTTATATTCTTCTTCTTTCCTTCTCTTCCCTTCTTCTTCCTCCTTCTTCTGCGTCAATACTTCGTCCATATCTATAATATTATCTCAACTATTTTATGTATTTTAGAATTATAACTTTGAACCGTTTAAATTATACGCTAGAATGACGTGTGACTTTTTGAGTTTCTGGCATTACTGACATGTGAGCTATGAGTGAAAATCAACTCTCTACTAAACTCTGAGTGGGATGAGTGAAGAATAACTCTCTATTAGACTCTGAGTGTGGTATGAGTGAAGAATAACTCTCTACTAAACTCTCAGTGTGATATGAGTGAGGTATATAACTCTCTACTAAACTCTGAGTGTAGTATGAGTGAAGTAAAACTCTCTACTAAACTCTTAGTGTAGTATGAGTGAAGTATAACTCTCTACTAAACTCTGAGTGTGATATGAGTGAAGTACAACTCTCTACTAAACTCTGAGTGTGGTATGAGTGAAGTACAACTCTCTACTAAACTCTGAGTGTGGTATGAGTGAAGTATAACTCTCTATGAGTGAAGTACAACTCTCTACTAAACTCTGAGTGTGGTATGAGTGAAGTACAACTCTCTACTAAACTCTGAGTGTGGTATGAGTGAAGTATAACTCTCTATTAAACTCTGAGTGTGGTATGAGTAAAGTATAACTCTCTACTAAACTCTGAGTGTGGTATGAGTGAAGTATAACTCTCTACTAAACTCTGAGTGTGGTATGAGTGAAGTATAACTCTCTACTAAACTCTGAGCGTAGTATGAGTGAAGTATAACTCTCTACTAAACTATAAGTGTGAGCGTTGTATGAGTGAAGTATAACTCTCCACTAAACTCTGAGTGTGGTATGAGTGAAGTACAACTCTCTACTAAACTCTTAGTGTAGTATGAGTGAAGTATAACTCCCTACTAAACTCTGAGCGTTGTATGAGTGAAGTATAACTCTCCACTAAACTCTGAGTGTGGTATGAGTGAAGTACAACTCTCTACTAAACTCTTAGTGTAGTATGAGTGAAGAATAACTCTCTACTAAACTCTGAGTGTGGTATGAGTGAAGTATAACTCCCTACTAAACTCTGAGCGTAGTATGAGTGAAGTACAACTCTCCACTAAACTCTGAGTGTGGTATGAGTGAAGTACAACTCTCTACTAAACTCTGAGCGTAGTATGAGTGAAGTATAACTCTCCACTAAACTCTGAGTGTGGTATGAGTGAAGTACAACTCTCTACTGAACTCTAAACCCATTTTCAATTTTCCTTGTTAGCTTTTAAAACATTGTCTATCTGGTTTTATTTAATTTTCTAAGATCATCTTTATCTAGATTTCAATCTTTAATTAACCCCTGTTGCAGTCCTGTAAAAACTATGACATTTCAAATAAACGCCCTATCCAAGGAAGGATGTTATTTATTTCGAACCACCCTTTAATGTCCTGTCCTGTAGAAACATACTTTAATAAAATCGTAATTTAACATTTTTTGTCAATACTACACTGAAGTGTCAAAATGTCGGTTTGATCTAACATTATATTATGGGGTCATATCACTGAGAACAAGATAGAATGAAAATGTGATATTTATACGACTTCACTAGTACAACTTTGTGACCTTGTAGCATCTCTAGTTTTGATTTTACGGAAAAGTACGAGAAAAGAAAGTTTACAAATTAGAATTTCAAATTTTTGTTCTTCTCATTAACTGTTAAATAAAAGAAGTTCTGATTGAAAACAAAATAATATTTAATTGTACGTGAAATTTACTTTAGTTTAACGTGATATTCATCTAATATTGTTGAATGCAAGCTTTTCAAGCCTTCAGAATATTTTGCAAATTTGTAAATCGTTTAACCTCTTTTGTTCAAATCTTTTCTTGCAATTACGTTAAATGAAAATTATTTGATTGAATATGTCAAGAAAAATACAACATACTTTTTGTTTCTTTTTATTTGAGCAATACTAAAACTTTCAAAAGTTGAAGTTAATATTTTTTCTTTTTCAAACATTCAAAAGGAAATTTATAAATATTTTTCTTGTCTCTCATAGTGTAAGTCTGTTTGTTTGTATCCAATAAACGTCAAAACGGCTGAACCAATCGAGCCCTCATTTTTAAAAGTTGAACAGTTTTCCTCGGAAAAAAATGCCGACTATTATTATTTTTGAAAATTCGCAAATCTAAAAAAATATGCAAGAATAATGGCCTTTTTCAGAGCAACAGTTAAGAGCTAAAATTGTTAGAAGAAAAGAGGGCTTGAAGCGTCCTAAAAACCTCGTCAAATTTAGATGTTAATTGTTACATTTAAAGCCACCATTTTTCATCGTTGTTTAATTGGATGATTTACAAAAATCGTAAAAGCCGACATTTTCTCCAGGAGCAATTTTTCGATCTCGACCAGCTCTCCCATGAGGTAATGTGTGTTGCCCGATAGGTTCAGTCGTGTATTGGATAAAATTAAAAACAAACAGGCAAGCTATGTATGCAGATAGATAGATATTGAGGAAAATACTACACTAGCTGCAGTTTCAGCTAAATCCATGATATTTCCCCCTACCTAGGAATCTTACTCTTTCATGTAGCGATGGGCAATAGATAGATTCGTTTTACAGAAACTTTTATTATTTTTACACTTTTAAAAGGTTTAACGACAATCTAAGAAGGGTCCAACGATTAGAAATTGTATTCTGTAGAAACATGCAAAATTGTTATTCTGGTAAGAAAATATAAGGCAAAAGGAAACCACTAACTATCGTTTTTGTTTTATATTTTCTTCTAGGGTAATAAATATGCATGTTTGATTAAGGCAAACTTCTACAGAATAACGGTTTAAAATGTTGGAACCTTCTCATAGTGTCGTAAAACCTTCTATTAGTCTAAAAACATTAAAAGTTGCATGTTTGACAATTTTAAATAATACAGGGTGTCCCAGAAAAACTGTGCATTAGGGGTATTAAAAACTGAGTAAACAATTTTCGTTTAATTTTTACGATCAAGGTGTCATTCGAAAGCTTATAATTTCAGTTATTTCATGATGTAAATTTTCTCCTTCTAGGTCTCATACTTTTTTGTTACTACCAATTATTTGAGCGGAAAATGATTTTCCGGATTTTTAAAATTTTCGATTTTTAACGTCTCATTTTCATTCGTTCATAAAGTATGAAAAAATTTTAAAGATTTTAAAATTTTTTTAAAATCAAATACTAATACCCCTACTGCACAGTTTTTTTCATTTCATAAAGATAATTTGCAAATATTCACTTTTTAGAAATTTTTTAACAAGTAATCGAAGATTTGTAATCGTAGCCAAGGACTTTGGAATTGGGACTATCAGAAAATAAGTTTTTTAAAACCCCTTAGAATTAATTCCTTTGTATGTTTAAATGGTTGAACAAATTTTGGAAACCATCTTTTTTAATATAATAATAACTAGATGAAGGGCCCGGCGTTGCCCGTGGAAAACAAAATTTCGTTTTTTTAGTTATAACACGGCCATCCATGAGTGTCCACAAAAAAATTCAGCCAAATTGGTCCAGCCGTTTTGCCGGCTATACGCAACATATATATATACACGAATATCTTGTTTTATTATATAGATAATATGATTTTACCTGCGGCAGTTTTACAATATATATACTTTATTACTGGTTTCTCACAAGTTTGAAATCTCTCATTTTATTTCAACTTCTAAAAATGAAAACATTGAAAATAAAAACTAATTGTCATAAAAATAATAATACTTATTTACACATTGTTGTGATTTTTCAAACTAAAAGATATTAGCTCCGTGAACAACTGAAAAGTTGAGAAAAATAATATGTAGATTTTATTTATTGTAAAAATTAGTTAAGTTTTTCCTCGATATTAATCTTTAAAAAAATCCCGTGTTTCTTTTTAAATAGATGTCGGTACTCGGCACTTTGAACAAATGATTTATATTTGTTGCTAAAAGTAACACATTAATAATTTACAAAGCCGCGAAACCGCATAAACTGATGATTATATATACAGGGGATAGGGGTTAACATATGGGGGTCTACAGGGACTGCGCCCCCCACCAATTCAAAGCGATGATTTCCCGAGGGGTACATCAGTCCCCAACAAAGACTGATCCTCCTCTTAAGAGTGAGAAAAAAAGTTAAGCCCCCCCCCCTTAGACAAATTTATGCATATGCCCCTGCAGGGCAGGGCGGTCCCGAATAATTTGTCCATATTTTCAATGCATTTCTTGTATAATTTATCACACCTGGTAGCAAGTTGGTAAAGGGGGGGGGGGGCAAAAATTAACTTTTAAAACCTGATTTTAGTGTTTGAACGTTTCATAATGTAATAGAGTTGAATTAAAATAAGTAGACAATACAAAACCTTAAAGCTTCTTTTCTTTCTTTATTTACAAAAGTGTACTAACGTTTTTGGGGGGCAATACAAATAAAATCTTGGTCTGAACAGCACTGCAGTATTTATGTTCCATGAATATTGATTAAATATGATTATTTTATCTATTCATGAGTTCTGCACATGTTAAATATGATATCAGGGCAAGCATTAAACTGCAAACTTAAATAATAGATAAACTTCAGGATCAAAACAATATTCTCCGATAAACGTCCTTTAAAGGGAAAATGTCTAAATTTGTAAACCAAATAATTTCCCAATTGTCCCAGCGCAATTTTCAGGAACAAACCGTTTCATAAGTGTCAAACATAGGATATTATAAGTATATTTTATTTTATTTAGTTAAAATTAGGATTTTAGGAAATCTCGATTCTTTGTATTTTTCGTTAACTGATAAGGATACATATTATTTGCAAAAGTTCGAAAAATATTTATTTTTGCATGTTTAAGGTCTTCAAACATGCAAAAACTGCATAATTCCAAGAATTGGTGAGGAAAAAATTAAAGTAAAGATTCGACTAAATATTACATTGTCATAAATTTTGCTTCATTAATGCGAGTTTTTCCTTTTTATAAACTGAATGTAAATTGAATTTAACGATTTTACGGGTAAAAATCGCAAATTTGAAGTTATATAACACATTCCAACCGCAAATAAACTAAATTGTTTAAATTCTAAACTCAAATATTTAAAATTCACATGCTTTTCTCAACCTTTACCCTTGCAAAGTTGAGATTTCTAAAGTACGTTCTAATTATTTGATTTAATTTATTGATTTTAATGTTTTTATTTAAATAAGCATTAACATATTTAACTCTTTGATGTTTAATAGAGCTTAACAATCTATAATATACGGCGGAGGGGGCGGGGGCTGCATTGTCCTTTCTCCAGTTGAATTATGTAAAAATGTAAAATGAGGCTTTCTTTCTTTCAACAACTTTTTATTTCCATTTTAAAAACAAAATTTTACACCTATCTTACAAAAAAAACTCGATTTGTGCTTCTTAAAATAAATGAAGATTTTCCAGGTAATTTGACAGAAAATTATTCTTAGCTTGCTTAATCTTTAATTGTTTTTACATAAAGAGTGTCCCATTTCATATTAGATTATCTTTAAGCTTTAACGCCAAAATACAATCATAATATTCGAAAAAATTAGTATTCTATTCATTTAAAAATGATTCATTATTCATTCTTCTTAAATTTTCTGATTAGTCCCAAAAATCGTTATTTAGACCGATAGACGATCTAATATGATGTGGGACACCCTGCAGTTATTTTTCTGTAGCAGCAACAACAGATTTTTATTCTAGATGTCATAACAAATTATGCATATTTATAGTTAAACACTTAATAAGCCATACATCGAAAGAATTCGTCAAATGTCGTAATCTTCTCTTTCTGATAATGGAATGTTGCAGATATTTAGCTTTTTAATAAAATGATTATATGTAGCTCTTTAAAACTGTTCTCACATCTTAATGGCTATTTATTAATTTTCGCAAATACTGAGATTTACGTAAAATAGTAGAAAACCTTCAGAAAATTGGCAAGACGACATTTGATAAATTCTTTCGATGTATTGCTCATTTAGGGTTTAACTGTATGAAATATTAAAGCACAAATACTCTAAACTCTCCCTGATAAAAACACAAAACAACTAAAATCTTGAAATATTATATTTAAGAAAAAAAACCTTGACGATAAAATTTTTTTGTTTTAATTTAAAAACTTATTTATATTTCCGTTATTTCCTTGTTTGTTTGATTTTCAATTAAAGGGACAGACCGGCTATGTAAGGTAGTTGAACTGAGTATGCAGTGTTGTGGAAAGATTCTTTATGATTCATTTGAGACATATTAAACTTTTTAAAGATCTGTAAATATATACGTTTTCAGAATCGGTTTTTTTAAATTACTAAATAACGACGACGAAATATAAAGTAAAAATTATACAGTAATCTAATTAGATGGTTAGGAACATATTTCTCAAAAGAAGTTTGTCAATAAATCAATGCTAGAATCAATTATTTTGTTTTCATTATTATATTGAATTTCTTTTTTTCTTTGAATTTATTCGCAGATTTCTTCAAATTCTTCAAATGTCGTCTTTTTAATAATAATTCCAGAAAGTCTGCAAAAATCTTTGTGAATAATGAGAAAATAGAAACTAATAAATGAACAAGATTACTTATTTTCGATAATAAGATTAATTTTTATTTTCTCAACCGGTTCCTAAAGAACTAAATAGTTTAATATAGAGTTTTGTTTACATTTTATGTCGTCGCTATTTAATAATTAAAAAAAAAACGATTCTGAAAACGTATCCACCCACAAAGTAGGAGTTTTGAACTTCGAATTTGCGCTCAATTTCAGGATTTACAGATCTTTAAAAAGGTTTATATGTCTCAAATGAATCCTAAAGAAGCTTTCCACAACACTGCATACTCAGTTCAACTACCTTACATAGACGGTCTGTCCCTTTAAATATGCTCAAAAGGCCATTAACTAAATGGAAACTTTGTTAATAGAATTGTTTATACACATTTTCCTTTGTAAATCCGAACCTTCACGGCAATTGTAAATTTATAAGTTTGTTTATTGTTAAATACAGTGAAAGCAAAACTATCATTAGAAATTGGAGCGTATTTAAAACATCCTAATAATAAGCCATTATTTTTCAGCATATTTATATGCTGTAAGGAAAATCAGTAAATAAACAAATGCGCCAAATTCACAACGTTCAACGTAGAAAAATTCGATTTATTTTCTCTTCTTGTTTATATAAAATCGGTCAAAGCTAGAAAAATAATATTTGGCCCATTTACTATTTTCACGAGACCTTGAATATTAAATATCTCATCCCTCTCACAACTCTAGTAATACTAACACTATATACATACTATACACAAATATATATATAAATGTATATATATGTACCTTAGTAAAATGAATTTGTTCCCGAATTTTTAAATTTTTTATTGCCACATAGAAAAAAGATATTTTTTATTTACATTACTTCAATTTTCTTAAAAGCGAAAAGATACATGCACACTTTTTCCTTTTACGCTAATTTATTTTTCGTATCACCTGAAGTTTAAAAGTACTTTTAGTATACAAGCACTAATTGTGTAAACAAATATTGATAAAAATATAAACATTAAACAGATAAACAGATACCTAGTACCTATATACCTTAACTATACGATTTTTCAATCACAATACCAAAACAGAAATGCAATTAGAATATTTTTTGAGCGTCAAAATTGTTGACATTCATAAAACGTTTTAAACGTTGAGAAAATTTCGAGATTATTGATTATTCGCCTTTTTTCATGTTGTAAGTTTTAACTCTTTGATCCATCTGAATTCATCATGTTGCAAAGATATCAGAATTAGAACATTCTACTTCGAGGTTAGTGTTCAATACTTTTTGTTAGATTTTAAATTTAAATTAGATTTTGAATCGTGAAAAGGTGAAACTTAAAATAAATTTCAGCAACATGGAAAATTAAAGGCAGCACTTTGAAAATCCCGGATATCCAATTTATGGATTAAGAGAAGCATAAATTTTGCAACCCTTAAATTTAATCTACATATACAATGATAACCAAAAAACTCTAAAATAGGAAGACGACTTTAAGAATAAAGTTTTAACATTTTAAAAGTCCAATCAGAAACAGCAATTGTGCATTTTAGACGGACCAATTTCACTTAAACGTCTATTCGATTTGTAATAACATCAAATAAGTATTGCTATAATGTTGTCTTTCTTATCCATTGTTTTCTGGTCATGACTGTAACTAAAATGATATTTTATTAGAAATAATTTTCATAAATATATTTTTTTAATTAATCGTTTTCTTGACTGCATGTAACCGCAAAATGATAAGATTGCATATGTTATCAAATGCAGTTATTTTAAGTCTGGCTGTTTTAGTCAAATGAACCATAAAGTACACATTCGAACTGAATTTAATCAATTTAAAATATTCTAAATCTTGAATCTAAATCGTACATACGATTCTACAAGTGGAAAGACACTTGAATTACGTATAATTCCATAATTCGCTCTAACAACAAAATTATTTCGAAAATAAAGCATTAGAAGATATAATGTTATTTCAGGTTTCAACGTTTTAAGTAATAAACACTTTTTTAACAAAACCTTTCCAGAAATGTATCTTAAAAGAAAGAAGTATACAGTAAAGATGGATGAAGCTTCAAATAAATTTTTCTATTTTTATATATGGATCATCATGAAGGGATTAAAATCTCAGCGAGGGGGGAGGGGGGTTAAAAAGATCTTTATAACTCATTTTTTTACGGTTTGATGAAAAGTACAAAATTAAAGCAATTCTAATCTTTTAAAATTTCAAATAGTTCTAACAGCCTTTTCAGTTGTTTGACTATTGTAGGTTTTAATCCATTTTAGATGTAATATAGTTTCAACTATACCTAGAGTGGATTGTCCGATTAACAAGGATACCTTTACCCTTTACCCTTTACCCTTTAGAACTTTGTTTTGATCGAGAATGGATTATATAAACTTATTTTTATCTTTCAACTGTTTATTTAAAATTATTTCGTTTAGTGTGAAATCCTATATCAAAATTATTAAAAACAAAAGTCAGTAGATTTTGGATATTTAAATTATTTAATATTATTTCATCATAATGTTACATAGAAATATTGCCATCAAACCATTCATGTTTATTGATTTAACTTGCAAAAAAACCTTAACAAAGAGACAGGAAATGTTATTTCTAAAATTCGGTTGGTAAATGATTTACACAGTGATATCCTGTGTACAGCTGATGTGGAACTAGATGATTAGAAAGATATGAGGAGAAAGTAAGTCTTGTCAAATCGATGCTTTTCATGATTGGACACTTTCGAGGATTTCAAAAATGTCGTCCTTCACCTGAAGGTCGTCTTGGAGATTAACATTCTGTACATTTTTAAAGGATCTGAAGGGCTACAGAATCCAAAAATAAAACAAAACATGGGAGAAAACTAATCAAATTGTGCCGGACCGTTTTAGGTTTCTCTATAACAAATCAAGAGTTCTTGAATTAGGAGGCAGTATTATTTACAGATTTTAATTACTTTTTGTTTTTTTCTAAGACCATATCATTTGAATGGAATTCTATTTTTATCACGTTTTTTAATGGTTCAAAAAAGCTGCATGTTTCTACAAATTTTTACCAAAATTTCTTTTATTTTTATTATTTTAACCCATGGATTGAACAGTCTTCATCATCAATATGTATAATGTAAATTCAAACATCACCCACCGGACCTGTTTATTGGTTAGGGAATATTTATATAGGGAAATTTCTATCAACAATGTTTTGGGACATCTTTCCTCTCACAAAGCGGTACAAAATACAATATGATTGAAATTAATACATATGATTTATGAAATATGATATACTCAAAAAATAAATGGATGTGCATTATACATAGATTTTTCATTCAGACAATTCTGTCATGGTGGGCCGGTGGCTCTGGTCCAGGAATACAATCTTCTTAGTGCACTAAATGAACAGCAAACTAATTTTTTTTATGTTCTTCACTCTTGAGTTTAAGATTTGAAAGTGTGAAAGCTCTGAGTTCTAGGGGTTACAGGTCTAGGTGGGGCACTGCCCCCTTGCCCCTCCCCTGTATACGCCCTTGTACAGTAAAGCTAACTGAGAAAACGTAGAGAACTATCATCCCCCCTGACTTAGGGTGTACAGGGGTATA